AGTGTTTTCATCTGGTCGCGATGAAATATATAATTGAGTGTCATATAATATTACCAAGTGGCAGCATATATATTGAGAATAGCAGAGGGCCTAAAACCGATCCTTGCGGTACTCCATAGTCTAACTGACGTTATCTTTGATTTTTTCCCATTTAAACAGACAAAATGATAACGGTCCGATAAGTACGATCTAAACCAGCTTAATGCCTGTCCCTGAACACCAGTGTAGTTTTGTAGTCAAACCAAGAGTATTTTATGATCTATAGTGTCGAACGCAGCGCTAAGATCAAGTAGGACTAGTATTGAGATACAGCCTTGGTCAGAAGCTAAAAGTAAATCATTTGTAATTTTAACTAGCGCAGTTTCTGTACTATGATGCGGTCTGACTCCTGACTGGAATTTTTCATAGATATCATTTTCTTGCAAAAAAGAGCACAATTGAGCGGATACAACTTTTTCTAGTATTTTGGACATAAATGGAAGATTTGAAATGGGTCTGTAATTTGCCAAGTTATTTGCATCTAATTGCGGTTTCTTAATGAGAGGTTTTATTACTGCCAGCTTGAATATTTTTGGAACATGACCTAAAGATTAAGACGAGTTAATAATATTGAGGAGAGGCTCTTCCACTACAGGTAATAGTTCTTTCAGTAGTTTAGTGGGTATCGGATCTAATAAACAAGTTGTTGGTTTAGAAGCAAATAGTCGTCATCGTAATCCAGATTTCCCCAGTCAAAGTCCTCGTCCTCCATCCTGCTGAGTCCTCAAGTTGGTTGGATCTTTCTCTCACGATACACTTAACAAAAGTGAAGGGAAGGACTCAAGTGCAGTGAAGGGATGATTTATTAACAAAACAAAACACAAAGCAAAAACCCACAAGGGGGAAAACATACTCAATAAAATATAAAACTGAACTTAAACTGAAATACAATACCCTGACCATGAATACCACAGAAGAACAGGGGAGATATACAAAGATCCAACCAAGACTGCAAACATGAAGGAACTTAAATAGGGAACAAATCAAGAGGGAACAGGTGGGAGAACTCAAACACTAATCAGGTAACGAGGGGGAGGATCAAACACTGACAGGAGCACATGGCTCAACATAACAAAACCACCCATGTGCTAACAGACAGGACAGACACGTGACAGAGTATTTGTGGCATGTTTCTGTATTTGATTGTATTGTGAGTATATTGTGGCATGTTTCTGTATTTGTGTTGCAAATATTTGGAGCATGTTTCTGTATTTGATTGTGTTGTGAGTATTTGTGGCATGTTTCTGTATTTGTAGCACACATGTGTTGTGAAACTGATGAAGATGTTTTCTTAATTTGTGGGTGTTTTTCTATTTGCATGTTTCCTTCATTTGCAACGCATTGAGCTCTCTCTGCAACCATTTTCTTTTGATCAAAGAACCTGGAAAAAATTTATAATATTTTTTACATAAACATTAAGCAGTAACTTATAACATTTTTAACATTAATAATAATTTGGAATATTTCTTGAGCATCAAATCAGAATATTACAATGAATTCGGAAGGATCATTATGACACTGAAGACTGGAGTAATGTTGCTGAAATTATGTATTTTTTTTAAATATATTAAAAATAGAAAACAGTTATTTAAATTGCAATAAAAATTCAGTTATTCCTATTTAGATCAAATAAATGCAGCTTTGGTGAGCAAAAGCGACTTCTTTCAAAACTATATCTTACTGACCCCCAAAATTTTGAATGTAGTGTAAATAAAAAAAAAAGATTTAAAAAATACGTTAACACTCTGATTAATGAATCTCAGAACAACTCCCCATCAATAATTTACAACAGAAAACATGTTGATTCAACATACTTGAATCACTGAAATGTAAATTCATCAATAATTCATGGAAGTGTAATAAAATTGAAATACAAAGAAAACACTATTTAGAGAAAGCACGGTTAAAAGTAGAAATCACTGGTGAATAAGTCTCATGATATCGTTTACATCCTTTTGGGTCTGCAAAAACAATGGTATTTACTGGTATTTTGAAAAGTTTTGAATGAAAATAACATCCTAAAAGGAAAAGAAAGTGGGGTGGGTAGTGGGCAGTTTGAAACGAAGCCAAGCATTGAGGTCATAACTGCCCGTTCTGATAACAATCATCAATGAGATAATGAGACAACACAGCTGATCAGCAGGAAATAAACATGGGAACACAAACATCTAATCAGCCACCAACCTCCATAGTTAAGAAAGCTAGTTGATTATTTAGATTACATTGGGGGGCCTGAATAAATTCAGAAAGCCACCCACAAAGAGGGCCTCTATCAGACCAGCTCCTCAAACAAGCAGAAGCCATGGAGATATGAGTCGCCTCACAACAATGGAAGTGTGGCTTAGAGATATAGGAACTTCAGGAGCGTATTTGCTTACAAGGCTCCTGGCCAGCACCAACGCTCAGAGAATACTCACTGACCACACACGGGCTCACCAAATCACTGTTTGTTTAATCGTCATACATTACGGGACTAATCTTTCTCTTATCTCTATTTTTAAACAGGACTAATGAAATTTTCTCAAAAGGGGAGTCAAAGCATGAGTGTGGAATAAAGCACACTCTCTCTTTCGCTGGACTGAGGAGTACAGTGCTCAGAGCAGGGTTTGTTTTGGGTGTGTGTGATGAAGTTTGAGGGGGCGGGAGGGGGGTCTGGCCCTCGGCCGAGACGGATGACTATTGTGTGTGCAAGAAGGAGTGTGTGCGGAGGGTGCTGGGCAATTTAAGACAGCGTTTAGCATGCAGAGCCAGACAGGGCAAATCAACCTGACTGCACACAATCATGAGCCTTGAGCTAGAGAGAGAGAGAGATGGAGAGAGAAAGAGATAAACAACCAAATGGAGAGAGAGAAAACGGAGGAGAAGGGACACTTTTTGTGACGAATAACGGGAATATTGCCAATGTAAGACATAAAATCCAAGGCTAAAGTGTTGTATTTCAGTATTTGGCTGCTGACTTGTAAAATAGTTTTAATAGTAGGAAAATTGAGGCTGTTGTTTTCCATATAACACTGGGATTCCTTCTTTGAGAACTATGATGTCCAAAAGGGGAACAAGACAAAACTATAGAAAAGTGTCTATATAAAAAAAAAAAAAAGAGGGAGTGAAAGATTAAAATTAGTCTGAATAAGGCCCACACCCGGCCCCTTTCATTTGACCCAAATCAGGCTTTTGTGAGGCTCTGTAAAGTAGTGTCAATCATTCTGCTGGTGTATTATCAGAGAAGAGAATTTTTTTTATGAATTCACTCTTCGCAAATTAAAAAGACCTCCTGCTCTAAGTGCTGAAATAGGTAATACAGATAGAAGTTAGACATCACAATGCCACTCGTACACTGGAGCGACATCAAAGTGCCCAAGACATCCAATCAGATTTATGTTGAAGGCACAATGTGATGAATATGGTGTAGCTCTCACACAAAAGTGCTTTTGTGTCACTTAAATCAGAGGCCATTCAAAATCAGCACGGGTCTGTCTGATTGGATGATGGCGAAAGGCCTTACAGTGCATCCAAACTTCACACGCACAATAGAAAATGCTAATTTTCATGCACTCAGAAGCTTGGTGCTTGGTTGACTCACATTTGAAGCACTTTGAAGGATGTCATTTGAAGTAAGAATAGATCTGCTTTTTGCACGATCCATTTTAAATGGGGAGAGTTTGATCTGCACAAACCTATAAGTCTCCTTCTCTTTGCTGATAAGACGCCTGTATATAAATATCTGAAAGAAAAAAGTGAACAGGAAAACAGACATTTTGGATGCCCTCCAGGACAGTTAGTTCATCACCATTAGTCTTCAGTTGACGTCTATTCACAGCCTCCATAGGTTGGTACGGACACATTGGTTACAGCACAAAGGTATTCGGGGGTTATAAATTGCTTTACACTCCAACTTTTTTGTTGTTGCTTAAAAATTAACTGTTCACACACTGTAACCCAAGGTTGTGTCCCGTCTACAGCTGCCTGTCACTTTCCTTTGTACTTATACAGTAAATGACTCCCATTAATTAAACCATGTTGACATACTCAAAGCCACTTCTTTTAGACATTTGAAATCAAGATAAAGTGTTTGGTTGTAGTGGTTATTTCCACATAAATCAGCACTTTTATATTACTTAAGTATCTACATTTGTGTAAACTGCATTTCTGCAGTAAACATTTATTTTTAAAACCATATTGGCTTTATAACATATTTGGCATTGGATGATTTCAAACACACACACACAAGGCAATTATCTGAATAAATAAAGTCTTTATTTTACATAAAATAGCTTTTCTCTTATAAAAAATTGCATATACACAAGTTTGTAGAAAAACACACAAGTGCACACTTTGATACAAAAGTTATTCATCCAGTACAAAAATGCTGTCACATATCTAGAACAAAATATTATAATATACAGGTTGCATGTGGGCTGCCTAGTGTAACGTTAGTGTAGTCCCTAACAGAAGGCGTTTATGGGACCTGATACTATTTTTCCTCATTCGTTTATCTACAACTGGTCACCTCTTTATTTGTACTATGTGGAGGAACGGACTGTCTCATTCAGTCGCATTTACACATTATTGCATCAACAGGGCAAAATGTTGAATACAGAATGGGGTGAGAAGACAAAAGTCAGCAGTTTAGACATCCTCGCTCGCCTCAAATCCAGTGCAGTTCTAACGTTTGGAAGCGTGCGAGTGTTGCATTTGTGCGCATGAGCACATTGTCAGAAAAAAAGGTACGAAAGCTGTCACTGGGGCGGTACCTTTTCAAAAAGGTACACTTTTGTATCTAAAGGGTGCATATCGGTACCATAATTGTACAAATATGTACCATGAAGGTACCAATATGCACCCTTTAGGTACAAAAGTGTACCACGAAAGTACCAATATGCACCCTTTAGGTACAAAAGTGTACCTTTTGAAAAGGTACCGCCCCAGTGACAGCTTTCGTACCTTTTTTTCTGAGAGTGCACATTGCTGGAAATGGCCCTCTGTGTGTCCAGTGCTCAGTCAATGAACTCTGATTCTTCACAGGCACCAGCAGACAACGTATCTCCAACCGGTACTGGTCATGTGCTGTCCATTCAGCACCAATCTTTAGTGGTCAGTGAAGCACCTGTAATAGAATAATAACAGTTATTAGTCACAGGCATACACCAAAAATGAATACAATTCATTTATAAGATGTGTTGGATAAAAACTGAGGCTTTTCAACCAGAAGGTAATCAAGAAAAAGATATAGAGCTCGTTTCTAATGTTATGTATATATGCTGTTATAATAAAAAGTCAAGGATTCTATTATTATTATTTAACTGGAGGCCCCTGGTTTGGCCAAGGGGCCCATGGGTAGGCTATGTAAAAAAAGTTGGGTCTGTAAGCGCCAAAAGAAAAAAAAAATGCTCGTACCTGATTCATATCTGTCGAACCATGTGGTGAAGTCCAGCAGCTCTTGTTCCTCAGAGCTGAGAGGCTCATAGCTGCCTTCATCAGAGGAGTACGCAGAGCGAGGTGACTCCGTGCCCGCGGAGTACGCGTTGGAGACCGATGGAGACGAGACACCACACTGCAACACAGCAGACACGGCGTCGTGCTCGTCCAGCAGCTGCTGAAGCGCTCGGATGTACTCCACTGCCGAGCGCAGCGTCTCCACTTTGCTCATCTTCTTGTTCGCCGCTCCATTCGGCACATGCTGGCGAAGCGTCTGGAAGCCCATGTTCACCTGCTTGACGCGGTTTCTTTCGCGCTCGTTCCGTCTGGCCACCGCCATGGGCTGCTGTTGAGGGATAGTATAGCCGAGTCCGTTGAAGGTCAGTCTCCTCTTGCACCTGAGTAACTCTGGGCTGCTCGAGCGCTGTCTCTTCAGCACTTTACACTCCATGTCCTGCTTCGCATGAGGCAGGAGGGTCTCCGAAAACGGCTGATAAAACGAGTCTTGCGTTATTTGCGTCTTCGCGATGACAGTTGCCTCCATGTCGCGTCAAATAAATAGATAAATAGATGAGGTAAGGAGTTTGCAAGTAATGCGCCGCTCTCGTGCCTTTCGCGTGGCTCGCAAGAAGCGATAACTTACACCTGTTCGGCAAATGATTTGAGGGGAAAGCAACTTGCTCTCCCTTTTCTACACGTGCGCCACACCTCCACCCCCTTTCGGGCCGCACGCTCCCAAAGAAAGACCCCGCCCCATGCATGAATCCCCTGCTCGGGCTTCGTGCGCCGGGCGCGTGGCTTTGACAAACTCAAAGGAACTATTCTGTGCGCTCACTGCGCCACGCGTATGAGGCATTGCATCTCTGTGGAATCATGCTCACCCGGCGCACGCGTACATGTTCAGTGTTGTGGAATGTAAAGGGCCAACAATTGATATTAAATAAAACGATGGAGTGATGTCAGTTTTTAGAAGTATAGTTCGTCAGTCTGCGCTGTGGTTTATTACCTAACAGCATAAGACGTGCATGTTATGTGCCAAAAAGTAGGCTATCATGGTACAAATAACCTAGAACCATCATCAACATGGAACAGCACAGTTTTGTTAAGGGCATTATGCAAACAAGTAGCCTAAAAGAGAAATTACATTTGAATATAATAACTTTTATCCTCTTGATTGCATAGCAGCCTAAGGAGAAAAAATACATTTATAAAGACTTTTTTTTGATCATAGTTTAGATTTTGATCCGATTTTTGAAACATTGTTGGGATCATATGTCTCCACAAGCATAGTAAAACCTGAAATCGCCTACATCAGCCGGTCCTATAATATAGCCTACTATTGAGGGGGAAAATAATGAACAGGACATGTACTGGGAAAACAGGACTGTTGGCCACCCAAGCCTTTATAAGGTGTTTGTGCGTGCGCGCGCGCACGTGCCCAACCCCATATATATATAGCTATATATATATATATATATATATATATATATATATATATATGTGTGTGTGTGTGTGTGTGTGTGCGTGTGTGTGTGTGCGTGCGTGTGTGTGTGTGTGTGTGTGTGTGTGTGTGTAAAAATGCTAGGCTACTTGTGTTGAAAGCCTTTTTAGCTAATTAAAAGCAAATGATCTGACAATAAAAGACTTTGTAAATTCCATGGTATTTTGGTAGGTGGATAACTTTATTGGACAATTTCTAACATGATAAAGCCAGGACTCCAAAACAGCAAGACTTCAGCCCTCGAAAAAATAGTTCTCAAACAAAATGTGTAACTTAAATGAATAGATCACCCTCTAGCGGCGACAATATGTTTCTACAAGACAGCTTATCCATTGAACAAAAGTCTTACTGAGTGATTAGACAACAAAAATGTTGTGTATTTTAACCTAAATAACGTTTGATTGTGCATTCTATATAAAAAAAAATAATAATTATACATATATACATACATTACCTATTAAATAGGATGTACGCTACTAGTTCATTGGTTTGGAGCAATTCTATTTGTCGAAATGTGTCCAAAATATTAAGACAGTATTTTGTGCTCACAATCAAGTTGATTATTAAATAATTTATCAATCACATAAAACTTTTTGTACTCACAATCAAGTTGATTATTAATAAATGTATCAATCACATAAACCTTTTACATCAAATCAAGTCATTTTTTTTATTTGTTCTGTGTTGCATTATTATTTCATGTGTCCTCCATTCAGGTCTGCATCAGGAGCTGCATACAAAAATGTAATTACAAAGAATTATAAAAGTCAGAAGAATAAGTGTGTGCTATATTTTTTTGTAAACAAATGCATTTACTTCTAGGGAACAGCAACTCTGTCCTTCGTTGGTGACCATAACGGCAAGTTAAAATCTCATCTAGTCCTCTATAAGACAAAACACAGTATTCAGTCACTTGATTGTATCTTAATACGATTAAAAACAAGATGCCAAACATATAAATTGATAAAAGAATATGACTATACAACAAAAGCAAAAATGCTCAGTTAAGAACACAAAAGAGGACGAATCAAATGACAACTTACACATTAAATGGGTTTGTTCCGGAATCTTCTAGTTCCAACCATTCTTGCCAGTAATTCCATTTAAAGAAGTCATTACAGTCCTGGGCCTTGCAGGGACTGTGGACAATCTGGTACAACCCTTGCCACTGCTCTGTCAGTGTGTTCAGGCGTTTCATAATCTCCCTTATCACTATCCATGCATTCTGGATGTCTTCTGAGGATTCAACTACAGGAAGAAACACTTTTAAGTATAATATAATAATTTAGATGTCTATATGAAGAAGACAAAGTGATGACAACATTAAAGCTTCAGTCCGTAATTTTTCCTCTTTGTCACCATGCAAATGATACTTTGTTCTCAAATTGTTAATGTTAACTTCAAAACACAGAGTTCACGTAACCTTCCAAAAGCCCTTCCGATATTTATCCTTGTTTTCACATGGGCCTTGTTGCTGTCTCTTTTTTTCTCTAGCCACTCCAAAGTCTTTTGTATTTTACAGCAGGTGAATCTGTTGTCACTATAAATAACCCTCAGTTATTCTATTTAGTTTTGGGCATTAAGATATCATTCTGACATTATCGTAATTCAATATTTCTTAATATTATCTTAATATATATGTTATATTCTTAATTGGTTTATTAGTTTATTATATATTTGGAGGTTTGCTTTGTAACTTTTAGTTCCCTATCGAGGGAACTCAAACTGCGTCCAAGTGACACTTTGGGGGAACGCCCCTCAGCGTAGCGTCTCTGAAGCATGAATGAAACTAAGCCAATCTCCGATTGGATCAACGTGATGACGTGATGTGTGACGACACATAGGCGGAAGCATATATAAGGAACCGGCACACACAACATGTCAGCTTTCTGTTCTTCAGCTAAGCGCTCTCTGTGACTGTCAGTCTTATTTATTGTTTGTCTGTCTAAGCATATCTCCCTAAAATCTAAATAATGGCGAGTGTTAATTTCAGGCGGTGTGTGCACCCTTGCCCTCGCTACATCACGGGCGGGGACACACACCAACTGTGTACACATTGTCTGGGAATGCAGCACGCGCAGGCAGCTCTCGAGGGAGCTGCTTGCGAGCATTGTGAGGCTTTACCGCTCCGCGTGCTGCGTTCCCGGCTGGCCCTTTTCAATGAAGAGGGTCAGCCTCGTGAGCCCCGTGGTGCGGGACCCGCGTCCGCCGAGGCGGCGCGGCGACGCTCTTCATGGGGCTCGCAAATGGATCTGTCTGGGGATCCCGAGGCTGCTGAGGCACCTTCTCGGGATTCATCGGACAGTTCCGATGCCCTCGAGCCTCGCGCAGAAGCCCGCTCGGCGGCTTCTTCTGCGCGAGTCGAGGATCCGATGCTTGAGCTGTCTGCTTCCGAGGAGGTGGACGTGCTCAGCATCGAAGGGGGCGGGGACTTCGGGGATGACTCGCCACCCCGTGTCCCCGCATATGAGGAGCTGGTAGAGGTTGTTTCCCGTGCAGTGGCTCATTTAAAGATCGATTGGCCACAAGAAAAGCAGGAAGTGCAAGTTAAAAGCAAATTAGATGAGCGCTTCCTGCAGCACAGGGAACAACCTCATCATCGGGGCTTACCGTTTTTTCCCGATTTGCATACTGAGGTGTGTAAATCGTGGAAGAAACCCCATTCTTCTCGTGTTTCCAATCCCACAATATTAAAATATAGTAATATCATGGGGGCACGAGAGAATGGTTATGGGATGATGCCGCGGGTTGAACAGCCTTTGGCTAATTATTTATCACCTGAGTCGGCATCATCCTTTAAAGCCCCGGTGCTGCCCACCAAGCCATGCAGAGAAACATCTTCACTGGTGGGCAGGGCATATATGGCTGCGGGTCGGGCTGGTGCGAGTCTTCACACCATGGCGCTTCTCCAAGCGTACCAGGCCGACCTTCTTAAGGATATTGATGAGGGCGAGGGACCAACTCCGGAGGATGTGGCGGAGTTGAGGAAGGTCGCTGATTTGTCTCTCCGAGTCACCAAAGAGACGGCCCGCGCTGTCGGTCGCTCCATGGCGGCAATGGTGGTCTCGGAGAGACATTTATGGTTAAATCTGACGGGCATCAGGGAGAAAGACAGGGCTTTCCTCCTTGATGCCCCGATTTCGCCTTCTGGCCTGTTCGGCGACGCTGTTAATACCGTTGTCGACAGGTTTCAGGAGGCGAAAAATCAATCAGCGGCCTTCAAACAATTTCTCCCTCGTCGCTCAGTATCCGGGAAGTCTGCCCCCAGTGGGCAGTCGCAGCCTCAGCCAGGTACCAGCTCCTCCACCTACAGGCAGGTTCAGAGAGAGAGCGTCGCGTCTAGAGCCCCCCCTCAAGGAGCTTGGGGGCATAGACGGCGCTCTCAATCTAAGCCGCAAGCCAAGCAGGGCGACCTGAGGGCCGTCCTGCAGGCTAAGAAAACATCTAAGAGGTCCTAGCAGTGCTAGGATCTCTGCGGGCGGCCCCACCCGTGATGGAGCGACTGAGGTCGTCTCCCTCGCGGAGCCCGCAGGAAATCGATGTTGTTCTCCCGCCGTCAAGTACGTTTCGGGACGCATCGGTTTCCAGCGATCGCAAGCTGCTTTGTCCGCCCCACGAGCCTGCGGACGGGCAGCGATTGCGTTCGCCCATCGAGAATCGTTTTCGGTCCAGTCCTGCCGGAGATTCGTTTCAGGCGGTCGAGAACGAATCCCGATTAATACCCGAAACCAGGCTCGAGAGCCTGGTTCCCTTGGCGAAATATTTCGATGCATGGAAAAATCTAGCGAATATTTCCCCGTGGGCGCTGCGCACGATACAATACGGGTACAGGCTGCAGTTCGGGTTCCACCCACCCAGATTCAACGGGGTGGTCTGGACTGTAGTCAACCCGACGCAGGGTCGGGTATTGGAACAGGAAGTAAACTCCCTGCTGGCAAAGGGGGCCATAGAGCATATTCCTCCACTAGACAGGGAGTCCGGGTTTTACAGCCGCTACTTTATAGTTCCCAAAAAAGATGGGGGGTTGCGTCCGATCATAGATCTCAGATATCTGAACCGCTCTCTGAGGAGATTCAGGTTCAAGATGCTCACTATTCCCATGATCGTGAGTCAGATCCAATCCGAGGATTGGTTCGTCACGATAGATCTGAAGGACGCATACTTTCATATATCCATCCTTCCATCCCACAGGAAGTTCCTGAGGTTCGCTTTCGGGGGCGAAGCGTACCAATATCGGGTTCTTCCATTCGGCCTAGCTCTCTCTCCCCGCACATTCACCAAATGTATGGATGTAGCTCTAGCACCTCTGAGGCTCCAGGGCATCAGGGTGCTCAACTATATAGACGACTGGCTGATTTTGGCCCAGTCTCAAGAGCTGGCGGTTCAGCATCGAGATGTTGTTCTTGCCCACATCCAGAAACTGGGGTTGAGACTAAACACGAAGAAGAGCGTGTTGATACCAGCCCAAAGGACTACGTTCCTGGGAGTGGTATGGGATTCGGTCGTAATGCGGGCACGATTGTCGCCTGCGCGAGTCGAGTCCATTCTGGCCACAGTGGCTGGGATAAAGCTAGGCCAAGCCGTCACTGTCAAGCATTTCCAGAGAGTGCTGGGACTCATGGCAGCAGCGTCCAACATCATTCCATTTGGCCTGCTGCACATGAGGGCCCTCCAGTGGTGGTTAAAAACCAAGGGGTTCTCCCCGAGGGGAAACCCGTTTCGCACAATCAGAGTTACGCGCAGATGCCTTCGTTCTCTGGTTATGTGGAAGAAAGCTTGGTTCTTGTCCCAAGGTCCAGTGTTGGGAGCGCCATGTCGCCGGAAAACCGTTTCGACAGACGCTTCCCTCACGGGCTGGGGCGCGGTCATGGACGGCCGCTTCACGAC